CACATAGGCAACAGTTAGGCAACTTTATTCCGAAATGTTTCGCCTACACAGTAGGCTTCTTCAGTCGAATACAGAAAGTAGGCAGGAACAGTAGAGATGTGAAGACGATGTAATCAGTCCATCACCCTTGAAGTCGTAGAATTTGAGGTTTTCAGTCCCTCAGCCTGGAGAAGTTCAGTTCCATAGTCAGGTACTATCTGAAGATCAAGTGAACGAACGAAAGTTCAGGTAAGATCCCAAATGGGATGAGCGGGGAAGACGGGACAGACAAAGAATAGTGCTGGAGAGGAGTGTTCTTAGTCATAGAAATAGAACCAGGGCTTAACCCAGCAGCGAAGGCTATCGTAGGACAGATATTGAGAAGAGAAATTCAGGCTCTTCTGTTGGCACTCCGGTGGGGTGAGCTGGGAGGAAGGGACATGCAACGTTTAGTGCTAGAGAGGAGTGTAGAACTGAGCCATGTCTTAACCCAAAAGCTAAGGCGAACATGGGTCAGAGAATGGCACATGCCTTAGAAGGTACCTGTCAGCGGATCCAAGGTTATTTGTAAGTAGGGTTAGGAGCAGGATCATGCAAGGAGTAGAAAAGGTTGTGTTAGTTTACGGGTCTGCGAATGTCATCATCAAGGAGAGAGGTCCAGTAGTCATGTCGTGTCTCAAGTTTGTCTATCTGTCTGTCACTGAGCATCTTCCAGTACAGATTCAGCACAGGGATGTCTAATTGGGCATGGAGAGACTCGCTTGTGGCAAAGTCCTCCCATCTGACATCAAGCACCCAGCACAGCGCCTTGTTCTGGACATGCTGCAGTTTAAGTTTGTTTTTGCTGCAACAGAGAGGGCTAGAGGAGAGCAAGTTATCAGAGGACATATTAGGGATTTGTAGAGGTGTAGTTTGGTGTGTTGAGAGGCATGTTTCAGCTTGTAGAGGCCCACAAGGGCCTTACTAGCTATTGCATGCCTTGAGTGAATGTGTCCGTGTAAACGAAGAAGATAGTCAAGATTAATGCCAAGGACAGTGACAGACTGTGTGATGGGGATGTAAGTGCGGGTGTCAGCTGTTCTGAGCTCGACAGGCAATGGAGGATCACGTTTCCTGTAGTACTAACACTGCGTTATCCTGGGTTACTAATGCTGTGTTATCCTGGGTTACTAACACTCTGGGTTATCCCAGGTTACTAACACTGGGTTATCATGGGTTACTAACACTCTGAGTTATCCTGGGTTACTAACACTGGGTTATCCTGGGTTACTAACACTGTGTTATCCTGGGTTACTAACACTCTGGGTTATCCTGGGTTACTAACACTGGGTTATCCTGGGTTACTAACACTCTGGGTTATCCTGGGTTACTAACACTATGGGTTATCCTGGGTTACTAACACTGGGCTATCCTGGGTTACTAACACTGGGTTATCCTGGGTAACTAACACTCTGGGTTATCCTGGGTTACTAACACTCTGGGTTATCTTGGGTTACTAACACTCTGGGTTATCCTGGGTTACAAACACTCTGGGTTATCCAGGGTTACTAACACTCTGGGTTATCCTGGGTTACTAACACTCTGGGTTATCCTGGGTAACTAACACTCTGTGTTATCCTGGGTTACTAACACTGGGTTATCGTGGGTTACTAACACTGGGTTATCCTGGGTTTCTAACACTGGGTTATCCTGTGTTACTAATGCTCGGGGTTATCCTGGGTTATTAACACTGTGTTATCCTGGGTTATTAACACTGTGTTATCCTGGGTTACTAACACTGGGTTATACTGAGTTACTAACACTGGGTTACCCTGGATTACTAACACTCTGGGTTATCCTGGGTTACTAACACTGGGTTATCCTGGGTTACTAACACTGTTATCCTGGGTTACTAACACTGTTATCCTGGGTTACTAACACTGAGTTATCATGGGTTGCTAACACTCTGGGTTATCCTGGGTTACTAACACTGTGTTATCCTGGGTTACTAACACTCTGGGTTATCCTGGGTTACTAACACTATGAGTTATCCTGGGTTACTAACACTGGGTTATCCTGGGTTACTAACACTGTGTTATCCTGGGTTACTAACACTGTGTTATCCTGGGTTACTAACACTGGGTTATCCTGGGTTACTAACACTGGGTTATCCTGGGTTACTAACACTGCGTTATCCTGGGTTACTAATGCTTTGTTATTCTGGGTTACTAACACTCTGGGTTATCCTGGGTTACTAACACTGGGTTATCCTGGGTTACTAACACTCTGGGTTATCCTGGGTTACTAATGCTCTGGGTTATCCTGGGTTATTAACACTGTGTTATCCTGGGTTATTAACACTGTGTTATCCTGGGTTAAACACTGGGTTATCCTGAGTTACTAACACTGGGTTACCCTGGATTACTAATGCTCTGGGTTATCCTGGGCTACTAACACTGGGTTACCCTGGGTTACTAACACTTGGGGTTATCCTTGGTTACTAACACTGTGTTATGCTGGGTTACTAACACTGTGTTATCCTGGGTTACTAACACTGGGTTATCCTGAGTTACTAACACTGGGTTATCCTGGGTTACTAACACTGTGTTATCCTGGGTTTCTAACACTGTGTTATCCTGGGTTACTAACACTGGGTTATCCTGGGTTACTAACACTGTGTTATCCTGGGTTACTAACACTGTGTTATCCTGGGTTACTAACACTGTGTTATCCTGGGTTACTAACACTGGGTTATCCTGGGTTACTAACACTCTGGGTTATGCTGGGTTACTAACACTCTGGGTTATCCTGGGTTACTAACACTTTGGGTTATGCTGGGTTACTAACACTCTGGGTTATCCTGGGTTGCTAACACTCAGGGTTATCCTGGGTTACTAACATTGGGTTATCCTGGGTTACTAACACTCTGGGTTATCCTGGGTTACTAACACTCTGGGTTTCCCTGGGTTACTAACACTCTGGGTTATGCTGGTTTATTAACACTCTGGGTTATCCTGGGTTACTAACACTCTGGGTTATCCTGAGTTACTAACACTCTGGGTTATGCTGGGTTACTAACACTATGGGTTATCCTGGGTTACTAACTAGGTTATCCTGGGTTACTAACACTATGGGTTATCCTGGGTTACTAACACTAGGTTATCCTGGGTTACTAACACTCTGGGTTATGCTGGGTTACTAACACTCTGGGTTATCCTGGGTTACTAAAACTCTGGGTTATGCTGGGTTACTAACACTGGGTTATCCTGGGTTACTAACACACTGGGTTATGCTGGGTTACTAACACTCTGGGTTATGCTGGTTTACTGACTCTCTGGGTTATCCTGGGTTACTAACACTCTGGGTTATCCTGGGTTACTAACACTCTGGGTTATGCTGGTTTACTAACACTCTGGGTTACCCTGGGTTACTAACACTCTGGGTTATCCTGGGTTACTAACACTCTGGGTTATGCTGGGTTATTAACACTGGGTTATCCTGGGTTACTAACACTCTGGGTTATGCTGGGTTACTAATACTCTGGGTTATCCTGGGTTACTAACACTCTGGTTTATGCTGGGTTACTAACACTGGGTTATCCTGGGTTACTAACACTCTGGGTTATGCTGGTTTACTAACTCTCTGAGTTATCCTGGGTTACTAACACTCTGGGTTATGCTGGTTTACTAACACTCTGGGTTATCCTGGGTTACTAACACTCTGGGTTATCCTGGGTTACTAACACTGGGTTTTGCTGGGTTACTAACACTCTGGGTTGTCCTGGGCTACTAACACTCTGGGTTATCCTGGGTTACTAACACTCTGGGTTATGCTGGGTTACTAACACTGGGTTATCCTGGGTTACTAACACTCTGGGTTATGCTGGGTTACTAACACTCTGGTTTATGCTGGGTTACTAACACTGGGTTATCCTGGGTTACTAACACTCTGGGTTATGCTGGTTTACTAACTCTCTGGGTTATCCTGGGTTACTAACACTCTGGGTTATGCTGGTTTACTAACACTCTGGGTTATCCTGGGTTACTAACACTCTGGGTTGTCCTGGGTTAATAACACTCTGGGTTATCCTGGGTTACTAACACTCTGGGTTATGCTGGGTTACTAACACTGGGTTATCCTGGGTTACTAACACTCTGGGTTATCCTGGGTTACTAACACTCTGGGTTATGCTGGTTTACTCTCTGGGTTATCCTGGGTTACTAACACTCTGGGTTATCCTGGGTTACTAACACTCTGGGTTATGCTGGTTTACTGACTCTCTGGGTTATCCTGGGTTACTAACACTCTGGGTTATCCTGGGTTACTAACACTCTGGGTTATGCTGGTTTACTAACACTCTGGGTTATCTTGGGTTACTAACACTCTGGGTTATGCTGGTTTACTAACACTCTGGGTTATCTTGGGTTACTAACACTCTCGGTTATGCTGGGTTACTAACACTCTGGGTTATGCTGGTTTACTAACTCTCTGGGTTATCCTGGGTTACTAACACTCTGGGTTATGCTGGGTTACTAACACTCTGGGTTATCCTAGGTTACTAACACTCTGGGTTATCCTGGGTTACTAACACTCTGGGTTATGCTGGGTTACTAACACTCTGGGTTATCCTGGGTTACTAACACTCTGGGTTATCCTGGGTTACTAACACTCTGGGTTATCCTGGGTTACTAACACTCTGGGTTATCCTGGGTTACTAACACTCTGGGTTATCCTGGGTTACTAACACTCTGGGTTATCCTGGGTTACTAACACTCTGGGTTATCCTGGGTTACTAACTCTCTGGGTTATCCTGGGTTACTAACACTCTGGGTTATGCTGGGTTACTAACAACAACGTTAACAATAAAACCTGAACATAAATTATCATATAATAATGCCGTAGGTTAATTATTAGTTACATTTTCTTGTGTAATTATTAATTAACTTTTAAAATGGATGTTAATAATGTTTAGAAAGTATTACTTTGCTTGGCCTTTATCATATTATCACAATAAATAATAATATATCAATCTTCCTACTTACCTCATCAACCTTCCACTGATAGTTACTCCAACATTATATTAACTCACAACAGATGACAAAATTGTACAATAATTACCCCCGACTCCGCCACTTTCTTTGTTGGGTTTATAAGGGCCAGTGACACCGTGAGCCGGAGTATCAAACCAGGTTTTTCATTGGCACCAGAAAAAATTGTTGCTCAATGTGAATTGCTCATTACTCTATAATTTGTTCATGATTGTAGCCAAAGTATAAACGTAAGTAACCATTCTACAGAATTCATTACCTTTGTAACTTGTGAGCTCATTACCTTTGTACCTAGTTCAGCTATCAAAACTTTGGGGGCCCAGTCCCTGGACCCATTACGTACCTCTGTAATCTGTAAATACCTTTGTAACTTGTCATGATTGTGACCAGACTTACCTGGAGTTCATTACCTTTGTAAATTGTGAGTTCATTACCTTTGTAAATTGTGAGTTCATTACCTTTGTAAATTGTGGCCCGGTGGCCTGGTGGCTAAAGCTCCCGCTTCACACACGGAGGGCCCGGGTTCGATTCCAAGCGGGTGGAAACATTTCGACACGTTTCCTTACACCTGTTGTCCTGTTCACCTAGCAGCAAATAGGTACCTGGGTGTTAGTCGACTGGTGTGGGTCGCATCCTGGGGGACAAGATTAAGGACCCCAATGGAAATAAGTTAGACAGTCCTCGATGACGCACTGACTTTCTTGGGTTATCCTGGGTGGCTAACCCTCCGGGGTTAAAAATCCGAACGAAATCTTATCTTATCTTATCTTATCTTACCTCTGTAACTTGCTCAGCTATCAAAACTTTGGAGTCCAGTCCCTGGACCAATTATGTACCTCTGTAATCTTTTGACTACCGCCCACAGGATGGGTATGGGGTGCATAATAAACATATTAAACTAACTCAAGGTTGGACGATGAGAGAAAAGGAACAAAACTTCCTTTGTAAATAGAGATAGAAACTTAAAGTTCCCAATTAGATCCGGTGGACGCCCTTGCCAAGCATCAGCAGAGAGGGACGCCCATACTCCCACCAGAGTTCAGTAACCTGCTTCCTACCCAAGACCGTTAAGAATTTTCCGCAGAACCGAAAAAAAAAATGGAGCTGGCTAAAGTAAGGCGATGTACAGATGCCCCTACTGTAGAGTGCCCGGCGGGCACTCTACAGTAGGACAAGCGTCCCAGTGACAACGGGGGAAATTTGTCACTTACTTAGAAGGAGCTCTTCAAGCAGCAGAGGCACAAGTTCTGACATTTTTCTCACCTGCAGAGCCCATCAACGCTTCTATTTATTTATTTTATTTATTTATTTATTAATTTGAACATAACTGCACTAACGTACGTAGAACCCAGCGTGACTCAAGACAAACAACAGTGATACCTACAAACCGAAAAATAACTGACTGAAGCGAAGACTGCCCCTCAAACTTCAAGCACAGCCCCACTAGTAAGTTTATTCAAGTACACACAAATACAGTTACATAGATTATCATACATAGAACCATATGTGTAGAGAACCTGGGATTAGCCAAAAAAGTCAGACAGAGTGACTTATTTCCAATGGGGTTAGATGACTACCAACTCTTAACTTTTTAGTTTCATCTAACCACAGCAACTCTTGTACTACTATGAGACCAACTCATAGAAGAAACAGCACTAAGACCAGCAAGGCAGCACCTAGAAATCGACTATTCCATAAGACGACCCAGCAGGACACCGGTGCTCCATCCACCCCCCATCACCACCCAGAGCGACACATCACCATCAACAAACATGGCCGACTCACCCTCACCACCCAGAGCGACACATCACCAACAACAAACATGGCAGACTCACCCTCACCACCCAGAGCGACACATCAACAACAAACATGGCCGACTAACCCTCACCACCCAGAGCGACACATCACCAACAACAAATATGGCCGACTCATCCTCACCACCCAGAGCGACACATCACCAACAACAAACATGGCCGACTCATCCTCACCACCCAGAGGGACACATCACCAACAACAAACATGGCCGAATCACCCTCACCACCCAGAGCGAAACATCACCAACAATAAACATGGCCGACTCACCCTCACCACCCAGAGCGACACATCACCAACAACAAACATGGCCGACTCACTCTCACCACCCAGAGCGACACATCACCAACAACAAACATGGCCGACTCGCCCTCAACACCCAGAGCGACACATCAACAACAAACATATCCGACTCACCCTCACCACCCAGAGCGACACATCACCAACAACAAACATGGCCGACTCATCCTCACCACCCAGAGCGACACATCACCAACAACAAACATGGCCGACTCATCCTCACCACCCAGAGCAACACATCACCAACAACAAACATGGCCGACTTACCCTCACCACCCAGAGCGACACATCACCAACAACAAACATGGCCGACTCATCTTCACCACCCAGAGCGACACATCACCAACAGCAAACATGGCCGACTCATCCTCACCACCCAGAGCGACACATCACCAACAACAAACATGGCTGACTCACCCTCACCACCCAGAGCAACACATCAACAACAAACAGGGCCGACTCATCCTCACCACCCAGAGCAATGCATCACCAACAACAAACATGGCTGACTCACCCTCACCACCCAGAGTGACATATCACCAACAACAAAGATGGCTGACTCACCCTCACCACCCAGAGATGCATCACCAACAACAAACATGGCCGACTCACCCTCACCACCCAGAGCAACACAACAACAAACAGGGCCGACTCACCCTCACCACCCAGAGCAATGCATCTCCAACAGCAAACATGGCCGACTCACCCTCACCACCCAGAGAGACGCATTCAATTCAATTCAATTCAAAGTTTATTCTCTATAAAGATTACAATGTTGAATTTACAGAATTTGGTTGTTGTGTGGTTTACATGTAGTTAAATAATGATTACAGAGTGTACCACTAGAACGCCTAGCATGGCTAGGCATTTCGGGTAGACTTAGTTTAATTCTTTATTTTAAAATATTACAAATTATGAGGTAAGTTGGTATTATGGCTAAGTGACTAAATACTAGTTTGTGAGTTTAGCAATGTGAATGCTTTTGTTTTGGCACAGTACATAGTTTCAGTATTGGAGTATCATAGGATTCATTATTTTAAGATTGAGATTAATATTTCTGTTTATGGTCAAATGGGTGAGTGAGTGTAAGTGTGAACCACCAGGTGGTATTCGTGTAGTTAGTTGATGGGGTGTATCAGGGAGATAAGATGTTTTCTAATGGTAGTTTTGAAGGTGATGAATGTGTCTGCAGTTCTAGAGTTCTCAGGTAGGGTGTTCCAGATTTTAGGGCCTTTGACATACATTGAATTTTTGTAAAGGTTTAGTCGGACACAGGGAATGTCGTTGAGATGTTAGTGTCTGGTGTTATGCCTGTGGGTTCTGTCACAACTATCAAGAAAGCATTTTAGGTCAAGGTTGATATTGGAGTTTAAGGTCCTGTAGATGTAGATTGCACAGTAGTAAGTGTGGATGTACTGAACAGGGAGTAAGTTTAGATCTATGAAGAGTGGGGGGGGGGGTTGCCAGGGATGGGATTTAGTGATTATTCTTACTGCAGCTTTTTGTTGGGTTATTATTGGCTTTAGGTGTGTTGCTGCAGTTGATCCCCAAGCACAAATAGCATAGGTGAGGTATGGATAAATAAATGAGTGATATAGTGTGAGAAGGGCATTTTGCGGCATTGGATCAGTGAACAGTGACAGCGTGCCTCGTTGAGCTCCGGGTTTTCTGGTGTTTTCACGGTCGCTCTTACATGCTAGAACTTTAATTTGTGTCATCAATCCTATACGATACATCCCTCTAGCGCCTGGAACCAATCTTGGGCGGAAAACATTATATACTGAGTCAAAAAAGGAGAATTAGTGTGCACTACCTAGCAGAGTTTACTGCCAGAGGGGAATCATAGGCCTGTGTCCCGTGTGAAAAAAATAATAATTGAACTTTGTGTCAGAGGAAAGAAAGTCTCCCTGAAAACATTGAGTATACATAGTGTATAGTGTATACTACAGTGGCTCCCTAGTATATCGATGATAAAGGATAAAGTGTCATTTGAAAACAGGTGAATTTGTAAATGAAGTGATAAGCCTATAGAGGCAGGTGCCAGAAGTCGCCAGAATCTTACCACAGTGGTCAGCTGTTTTAATAATCTTTCTGGCCTGCTAGTGTACTCGCATATAATCTAGTGATACCAGTGAATAGCAGAATACAGTGTTGTAGTAGCAACTAACCAGTATTATAATGGTACTTAGTGGAGTGGAGTGACTTTCATTAGTTTCTTTTTCTTGAAATACCAGACGTTACTGTGAATTTCATATAACCTGTAGTTACCAGCGGTCGCAATATACACAACGAGAAGCAATTATTACTACAGAAAAAGCGTCCTTCCTCCAAAATTTGCACCAGTCAACTATAGTGATAATATAGCATTTATTGGGGTGGAGACGGAAAAAAAAAATAGAGAAGCTAGATACAGCGATTGATAAACAAGGGTGGAGGTCGACCGTTCGTCATTGTAGGAGTGCCAGCAGTTTACCTGGAGTTTACCTGGAGAGAGTTTCGGGGGTCAACGCCCCCGCGGCCCGGTCTGTGACCAGGCCTCCTGGTGGATCAGCGCCTGATCAACCAGGCTGTTGCTGCTGGCTGCACGCAAACCAACGTACGAGCCACAGCCCGGCTGATCAGGAACTGACTTTAGGTGCTTGTCCAGTGCCAGCTTGAAGACTGCCAGGGGTCTGTTGGTAATCCCCCTTATGTGTGCTGGGAGGCAGTTGAACAGTCTCGGGCCCCTGACACTTATTGTATGGTCTCTTAACGTGCTAGTGACACCCCTGCTTTTCATTGGGGGGATGGTGCATCGTCTGCCAAGTCTTTTGCTTTCGTAGAGAGTGATTTTCGTGTGCAAGTTCGGTACTAGTCCCTCTAGGATTTTCCAGGTGTATATAATCATGTGTCTCTCCCTCCTGCGTTCCAGGGAATACAGGTTTAGAAACCTCAAGCGCTCCCAGTAATTGAGGTGTTTTATCTCCGTTATGCGCGCCGTGAAAGTTCTCTGTACATTTTCTAGGTCGGCAATTTCACCTGCC